ATTTTCATGCAAGATGATCCTGTTGAGTGTTTCACTTCCTGTTATTTTCATGCAAGATGATCCTGTTGAGTGTGTTTCACTACCTGTTATTTTCATGAATGTCTTAAGTTTTTTCACAGCTTTATCCAAATAATGTTAAAACTTGCAAATAGCATTCTGTTTATCAAGATTTTTAATATATTTTTTTCATTAACTGCCACACAATCTTAGTAGAACTAATACTTAAGATAAAAAATTGTCTTGTTGGAGGCTCTTTTTTATTATATGATGTTAATGCATCATAAACAAAGTTATTTAAGGGTTTACATCTGAGACACTAATCACTAGTGTTTTGAAAATAAGATCTAGCAGAAATTAAAGTACAAGTTTATATATACATTTACGTATATATGTATTTTTTTTTTTCATTTTTAATCTCTTTACAAATTAAGTTGAAAATTTTCTTCACTGTACTCTTATATTCCTTAGAAAACAAATCACTATAAAAAATTTGGAAAATACCAATGGAAATATTCATCAACTGATGAATGAAACCAGTCAGCCAGACAACACGTCACTCTCTGCCAGGTTAGTTTGCTGTAACATTTTTTCATAATGTTCTTAACAATTTTCTAAACATTCCAACTACAAATTTGCTGTTAAACTCACTGTATAAAATGAAGTTAGGGATTTTTCTGTTCTGTGTCTACATGTGCACGTACTGCCTTTCTCACTTAGGTATAATGTCTGATTAGCATAACATATCTTTTTCAATCAGTCTCCAGGTGCCACCTATATTTTAATTAAACACTTAAGTATAGTTTTAAATAGACATATATTTAACCATTTATAAAGTAAAATATCCCTAACACCTTTTCACCTACACTCTCGCTATCGGCTACACTGTACCGGGAATGAGATGCTTACAACAGTACATAGAGAAATAGACTAAACATTTCCTGGAAAACCGGATGACCTTCATGATGTCACTAAATAAATTTTAGTCTAATTTTTCAGGTTCAGTCACCAAGATTAGGTTTTATCCAATTTTAATATGTTTACCTTCTATAGTTATGTATTTTACTATGTGAAATTAAGAATTGTGATTATATTAAAGCTCTCGTGGATTTGAGATAGTTTGTGTGAAAAGCTTAAGACATTGTGCATGGACTTTTAATTTTTTACTAAGACCAGGCACAGCCCAGTGGTTGACCAGCTTGCCAAGCCTATTCTTCAATTGTAGTAGTCCAGGAGTATAGGCAGTGGACACTGTTTACTAGTTACCTTATCTCTAGTTCAGAAGCTAGCAATTGCCCTATCTAGAAAACTACAGATAAAAAATTATTGTATTCCACGCAGATATCAACTCTAAATAAAAATATATATTAAACGAATAATTAAAATAAAATGTTTCACACTACACAACTAAAATATATTTATCAAAACCGTCAATAGTCTACGCTTGGGTTTAAGGAGTTAATTTAAGGAGTTAAGTAGACTATTGACGGCTGTGTAAGCAAGATGTTGGCAGCATCGGCTGTCTAAGCTAGATACTGCCAGCATCTGCTTGGGTAGACTATTGACGCTTGGGTTTAAGGAGTTAAATTTAAGTAGACTATTGACAGTTGTCTAAGCCAGATGCTGCCAGCATCCGGCTGTCTAAGCTAGATACTGCCAGCATCTGCTTGGGTCAATAGTCTACTTAACTCCTTAAACCCAAGTGGATGCTGCCAGCATTTGGCTTAGACAGCCGTCAATAGTCTACTTAACTCCTTAAACCCAAGCGGATGCTGGCAACATCTGGCTTAGACAACCGTCAATAGTCTACTTAACTCCTTAAACCCAAGCAGATGCTGCCAACATCTTGCTTAGACAGCCGTCAATAGTCTACTTAACTCCTTAAATGCAAGTGGATGCTACCAGCATTTGGCTTAGACAGCCGTCATTAGTCTACTTAACTCCTTAAACCCAAGCGGATGCTGCAAACATTTGGCTTAGACAGCCGTCAATAGTCTACTTAACTCCTTAAATGCAAGTGGATGCTACCAGCATTTGGGTTAGACAGCCGTCATTAGTCTACTTAACTCCTTAAACCCAAGCGGATGCTGGCAACATCTGGCTTAGACAGCCATCAATAGTCTACTTAACTCCTTAAACCCAAGCGGATGCTGCCAGCATCTGGCTTAGACAGCCATCAATAGTCTACTTAAATCCAAGCGGATGCTGGCAGCATTTAGCTTAGACAGCCGTCAGTAGTCTACTTAACTTCTTAAACCCAAGTGGATGCTGCCAGCATTTGGCTTAGACAGCCGTCATTAGTCTACTTAACTCCTTAAACCCAAGCGGATGCTGGCAACATCTGGCTTAGACAGCCATTAATAGTCTACTTAACTCCTTAAACCCAAGCAGTTGCTGCCAACACCTGGCTTAGACAGCCGTTAATAGTCTACTTAACTCCTTAAACCCAAGCAGATGCTGCCAACATTTGGCTTAGACAACTATCAGTAGTCTACTCAACTCCTTAAACCCAAGCGGATGCTGCCAGCATTTGGCTTAGACAGCCGTTAATAGTCTACTTAACTCCTTAAACCCAAGCAGATGCTGCCAACATCTTGCTTAGACAGCCGTCAATAGTCTACTTAACTCCTTAAATCCAAGTGGATGCTGGCAGCATCTAGCTTAGACAGCCATCAATAGTCTACTTAACTCCAAGCTGATGCTGGCAGCATCTAGCTTAGACAGCCATCAATAGTCTATTTAACTCTTTAAACCCAAGTGGATGCTGTCAGCATTTGGCTTAGACAGCCGTTAATAGTCTACTTAATTCCTTAAACCCAAGCGGATGCTACCAGCATTTGGCTTAGACAGTCGTCAATAGTCTACTTAACTCCTTAAACCCAAGTGGATGATGCCAACTGTCAATAGTCTATTTAACTCCTTGAACTCAAGTGGATGCTACCAGCATTTGGCTTAGACAGCCGTCAATAGTCTACTTAACTCCTTAAACCCAAGTGGATGCTGCAAACATTTGGCTTAAACAGCTGTCAATAGCCTACTTAATTCCTTAAACCCAAGCTGATGCTGGCAGCATCTAGCTTAGAAAGCCATCAATAGTCTATTTAACTCTTTAAACCCAAGTGGATGCTGCCAACACCTGGCTTAGACAGCCGTTAATAGTCTACTTAACTCCTTAAACCCAAGCAGTTGCTGCCAACACCTGGCTTAGACAGCCGTCAATAGTCTACTTAACTCTTTAAACCCAAGTGGATGCTGTCAGCATTTGGCTTAGACAACCGTCAATAGTCCACTTAACTTCTTAAACCCAAACAGATGCTGCCAACATCTGGCTTAGACAGTCGTTAATAGTCTACTTAACTCCTTAAACCCAAGCGGATGCTGCCAATATCTGGCTAAGACAGCCGTCAATAGTCTACTTAAATCCTTAAACCCAAGTGGATGCTGCCAGCATTTGGCTTAAACCCGAAATCTTATAAGATGTGGTGATATTTATTAGGACATCGTGAAAATAATTCTGGCAGAACATGCAAAAAATTATGGGTTTAAAAGAGTTAAAATATACTCCAATGTGTTTCGACATGTCTATGTGATTTTCATTTGAAAATGGCACAGACTTATTGAAATATTTAGTTTTTTAAGTGGACCATTGATGATGTAAACAAGTCAATTTTTAATTGAGTACAGTAAAGTGTATTTTTTAATTATTATTTGATTTCTAAACTACACAAGTACTGTTCATTCATATAACTACTTAAAAGTGGCAATGAATTCAATTTTTCTTATTCTTTCTGTACATTTTCTTCTTTACAATGTGGATAATGAATAAAACTTTAATATTCTTTTCTGTTTAGTATGACCTCTGCTGACTGTGTTGTCTGGAATTATACAAGTTTGTTGTGTCATTTCAATTTTTTTTTTCACTTGTTGACCTTTTTTTACAGTTCTTTGACATGCTGTAAATAAACATCAAGTTTATATGAGTAATATTTCCTCAAGTGTAAGGCTAACCAAAGAACTGTTTTGTTTGTTAAACATTGTTTTAATTTATTTTTCAGGTTCTCTGCAATACTTCATGCATCTCAGTCTTGTGGAGATTATGAGAAACTATTTCAAGGCTTGTTTGAAAATTATTTATTGGTTAATTTCAAAGACCCACGACTTCAGAAGGCGAGCATTTTCACTTATAATAAAATAAATAAATGTCACAAATTTTATCTTGAAACCCAACAAATGTTTATCAAAATTATCTCAATTTATCTTTTGAATATGTGTTATCTTTGTGATCAAAGAATACTCCATAGTTTGTTCTGCAAACATATTATCAAAATGAAAAATTATTTGTTTGAACAACTTTTATAAGCTCTTTTGTAATGTATTCAAGATTATGATTGTCAATAGAAAACACTGTTCATCACCTCTGTAACAGTGGAAATCAATGTTTATGACCTTTGTGGTGTTGGTCACATAGGTTAGGAGAGTATTAATTGCTACTTAGTTTTTAGCTTATGGATCGAAGTCTGTGTAAATTATTATAATACGTGTTCCATATTTTAATACCACTCGAATGAAGTTTATATTGTATGGTGCTAAAGTTTGATAGAATACTTAGTTATAAGTAGAGATCCAAAGCCAATGGTTATGAAACACAACCATTTCCTTGATAAAATATTTATCTTTTTTTGTTTGTCATACACGATATTGTTACTTCATATCATACTTTACTTTCATTTTGCCTCTTTACACTTAATGCAGTTTTTGTATGAATCTCGTTTAGAAATTAACTTTAGCATGGCTGCCGTAGCTATGAATCGGCCAACGTAGACTAAAGTGTAAATATAGGTCATTCAGATAAACTACTCATCAAATTTATACTGTAATCAGAGAAGCTTGTTTTTGTGAAGTGACAAAAAATTAAGAAAGAAAATTACATTATGATTTTGGTACAAACTATTTATTGTTGAGTTTTTTTTTGTTTTATAATAAACTTTATTTTTTTTTACTTTTTCTTTAAAAACACACCCCACACCTAAATTTGAAGATTGCCTTCAGTGTGATTGGATGTTTTAAAACTATCAAGAAAGATTAGAAATAGATGTTTTGGTGTTTGTTGTTTTAGTACTTTTTTCTTTATTAATGTACGCGTGTTACAATTATTACTAATATTAAACTTATAAAATACATAAGGGAAGATCCTCAAATCTAGTCTTGTAGCTATTACTATTATAAACAGATATATGAGTATGTTTAGGCTTGTGATAAATATTGTAAAGATTTATTCTTGGCTAATGTTGTTGTTTTTTTCCCCAGCTCGTTCATGGCTCTGAATGGCTGTGTTTTACTGATATCATACAACATGAAATCAACCACACCCAAATCTACACACTTTTTCCATACTTACCATTCACAGCTGTTGCCTTTCATCTGTTGTTTGCAGTGTTATCATACACTAAACTATCTTATCCTAGTGCTGACTATGAGGTAAGGTCCTTTCACATAATTCATAAATGTCTACAGGAATTGAACTTTGGGTGGGATATAGCTGGGACATGACAAGCTAACACCTTATGGAGGTTTACAAGATTATTCAGTAAAGCTATGACATAATAACCTCTAATTTCGAGGCTAAGATTAAGACAGTTTTTACTTTTCTAGTAAAATTGATGAGCTTAAGAATGAGTGGTCACTAGCAGTAGTGGAGGTCAAAACTTTACAGGAGTTTAAGAAGGGATTCAATAATTTCTTGGAAAACTAATGGATGGGTTAAAATTTTTACTTTTCTCAAGGATGGAGGTATAGAGGCAACTATGAAGGACCAAATGGTCCCTTTTTGTCTGTAATGTTATGTTCCTGATGTTGAAATGGAGGAGAAAATCCCTTGTTAACGAAAAAAAAGAGGAACATGTCCCCTCCCCTGTCTTCCAAATATACATTATCCTTTTAAGTATGGGTTAACTCCATATGTTGTTTTTGTGTGGTTATGTACAAGGTTTCTTCAAGTATGGGTTAATACCATGTGTTGTTTTCGTGTGTTAGAAGTGGCTATGTACTAGGTATCTTGAGGTACAGTTAACTCCAAGTGTTATTTTCTTCTGTATATATGGTTAGATACAAGGTTTCTTCAAGTACAAGTTAACATTTTGTTGTTTTCTTGTACTAGGAATGATTATATACTAGGTTTCTTGAAGTACAGGTTAACTCCATGTGTTGTTTTTGTGTTGTAAGTGTGGTTGTGTACAGTTTCTTTAACAATGGGTTAACTCCATGTGTTGTTTTTAAGCTGTAACTGTGGTTGTGTACAGTTTCTTCAACTATGGGTTAACTCCATGTGTTGTAATTGTAGTTATGTACAGTTTCTTCAACTATGAGTTAACTCCATGTGTTATAAGTGTGGTTGTGTACAGTTTTGTCAACTATAGGTTAACTCCATGTGTTGTAAGTGTGGTTGTATACAGTTTTGTCAACTATGGGTTAACTCCATGTGTTGTAAGTGTGGTTGTGTATAGTTTCATCAACTATAGATTAATTCCATGTGTTGTAACAGTAGTTGTGTACAGTTTCTTCAACTATGGGTTAACTCCATGTGTTGTAACTGTGGTTATGTACAGTTTCTTCAACTATGGGTTAACTCCATGTGTTGTAAGTGTGGTTGTGTACAGTTTCGTCAACTATAGGTTAACTCCATGTGTTGTAAGTGTGGTTGTGTACAGTTTCGTCAACTATGGGTTAACTCCATGTGTTGTAAGTGTGGTTGTGTACAGTTTCGTCAACTATGGGTTAACTCCATGTGTTGTAAGTGTGGTTGTGTACAGTTTCGTCAACTATGGGTTAACTCCATGTGTTGTAAGT